TTCATATTTTATTTTTACTCACTTTCCTTTTTGTTTTTGTTCTTTTTCTATTTCCTTCTTAAATTCCATTGGATAGCTCTATTTCTCCTGCTGGTAAGAAAACCATATGTCTTATATTTAATCTTTAGTGGTTACCCTGACTTATTATGAATTATATTTCATTATATTTTTGGTTGAAAGATAAAACAAAAAAAGATAATACAACCAATTGAGAGCTTCATGAATTTTTAAGAATATATTCTTATGAACTTATGCTACTCTCCAGAACCACATAGTGACAAGAATTTTTTGTGGTTTTTTTTTTTTTTTTTGCTCCGAGCTAACCTAGTGAAAAGCACAAATCATGCTGCAGCAGCTTTCTCCCTTTAGCAAAACTGTTTGATATTTCTAGCAGTTTCATCAGTAATACATAGCTACAGATGTATAGATAAAGGTCACTAGGGTATAAAGTTTCTATAGTCAATGTATTCATAATGGACACCTACTGTGTCTTACCTCTGAGAAAACAAATGTCAGAAAAGTGTGCAATGATATAAGAAACATGGAAATAGTAAAGAGATTGTCACAAAGGATTCGAATTATCTGTTTTCATCTAGCTGGGAGAGAGCATGTTTGCTTGAACATAGCCTAGGTGAATAAACATCTTCTCCAAGCTTGGAAGTTTCCTAAACCATCTGATAATAGGAAATTCTGGAAGACCAAGGGCATGTTATTTGACTCCTTTAGTTACAATTCACTCTCCTGGATTCTTCTGCATTGAAATTTAGCTGGCCTTTGTTTTTCTTTGGACTCTTCTGACATAAGCCACTCCTTAGTTTAACACCAGGGGCTGAAGACATTTGTTTAATCTTACATAGAACAAGATATAACCTTTGTTACCCATATGTAACTACAAACATGTTACTGCCCCACCTACTTAAGACACCCATTGCAAGAGTAGTTTAGAATCTGACCAATCATGGTCCTTCCAACTTGATTATCTCTGTTAGTATAATGCAAATATTTGCGTGTGGTTAATATAATAATATTTTAGATACTGTTCTGAACGTAATTTGCCTCACACAATTCTGTGTGTTCTTCTTTCTGTACATTTTTCTATATTCTGTCCTTATAAGAAAGTAACCACTTAAAGAACCTTACTAAATCTCTCCCTCTTCTGAAATCTCACACAACATATTTATATGATATACCAATTTTAATTTTTTTATTATTTCATTTTATTTAAAAAATCTTTATTGTTGAAAGTATTACATATGTCCCCCTTTTCCCCTCATCAACCCCCTCCATACCCCCCAGTCCCTCACCGCCCCATTGTCTGTGTCTATGGGTTATGCATATATTCATACAAGGTCTTTGGTTGATTGCCTCCTACCCACCCACCCTCCCCCACCTTCCCTCTGAGATTCCACACTCTGTCCCATGCTTCCATGTCTCGGATCCATTTCATCCATCAATTTATCTTGTTGATTAGATTCCACATAAAAGTGAGATCATGTGATATTTGTCTTTCTCTGACTGACTTATTTCACTTAGCATGATACTCTCCAGGTCCCTCCATGTTGTCTCAAAGGGGAAAAGATTCTTCTTTTTTACTGCTGCATAGTATCCCCTGGTATCAATGTACCACAGCTTTTTTATCCACTCATCTACTGATGGGCATTTGGTCTGTTTCCAGATCTTAGCTATTGTAAATTGTGCTGCTATGAACACAGGGGTGCATACATTCTTTCTGATTGGTGTTTTGGATTTCTTTGATGTACCAATTTTTAAATTTTATTAAAATTATTATTTTTAGAATGATTTTGATACATGTGTAATTTATGCTAGTGTGCTATAAAGTCTTCAAGGTAGACAATTGTTGTTTTGTGTATGGAGTAGATATTCAATTAATATTTATTGGATAAACAAACTGTCATCCTATGATACTTTACATCCATGGATATTTAATTTGAATTTTAATGCAATGTTTGGATGATTTCCTTATATCTCAGTAATCCCAAACAGTATTATCTGTCCTTTCACCTTGACTCCTTACCAAACTTAATCCTTCCTTATCCTTTGATCTCACCATTCTTCCCACACAAGAGGTACAGTAAACCTCTTCCCATTGTTTCCATTCGGTTATTCTGTACTTCCTCCTTAGTCTGAAGCCAACCGCAGCAGCCTTCTGTATAGCTGCTCAGAGCTTACTGGGAATGTTCAAAAAGAACTAATTTGCATAATTATCAAAGGTTAGCTTGGCAATTAGGCAGAGATAGATTTAACTTGGAATATCGATAAGGATGTTCTGTAATGTACTTATTGTACATTCTGAAGCTTTGATAAACCTAAAAAATTAATCCCCACACAAGTGGGATTTGTAATCTAATTTGGACATGTAACTAGCATATATTGAATAAAAACAAAACAAAATAGATGGCTACTGCTGGTGATTTTCTTTTCAGAAATACAAGACTTGAACTTGGAAAGGGTATACATTTAGAATTAGTTAAAACTACTTTTCAGTCCTGAATTTGGAATTTGTGAACTTTTATTTCTCTGATCTTGAATTTCCCAGTTTGTGAAAGAATAAAGATAACCTCTAGCTTAAATAAGCCATGATTTGTATGACACATCCAGCACAGTGCTACTACAAAGTATTCACTCAATAAATTGCCTTTCTTCTCCAAAGTATAAAAATCTACATTTTCTTCCTTTCTCACTGTCTCATTTCTATGTGAGTTGGGTTCCTCTCTCCTACTCTACCTCAAAATGAAGAGTTGAAGAAATGGATAGAAATATTGTTGTCAAATGTACTTCCTTTTCTTGCTTACCAAGATGTTGATTACCAATTAAATTAGTAACTACTTTCTATTATTACTACTCTGTAATATCTAAAGATCCAGTTGAACTATTATCATAGTTAGGCAGAACTGGCTAAATTGAAAGTAATTTCTGCAAGGGGGAAGACAATATTACCACCTAAACAAGCAAAACTGGAAAAATATTGACTATGAAAAAGGATTTCAGGGGAAAAAAAAGAAAGATCATATATATTACTATATTTCTTGAGAACTGGACTGGAGAAAAGACAAGAACCTGCAAGGCAAAGCATTAGACCTTGTCATGCAGATTTAGTCCAAGAGTGTTGCCATTTGAAAAGCTACTCAGTTCATATCCTGACAATGGATGGGAAAATTACCCTTTGTGCTTCTCCTCCACCAAGGACGTGGGAATCAATCTTGCTTAAAAAAAAAAAAATTACAATAAAGCTTACACATTCCCAACTTTTCTAGCTGGTTGCATCTTGTAGATGTTGAAAACACAAACGTAGGGTGTCAGCAGAGTGTAAATACCTGAGAAAAAGCATAGTGCCAATATGCATAAACGGAAATTCTGTTCGGACATGCTGGAGACTTGGGCAACAGCGAGCAGCATCTAACTTACTTCAGTCATTTCAGCCATCCACAGTTTTTCCTTCTTATATAAACCATTCATGTTTTGTGTTTCCATTTTAAAGGGAATCATGTGGAGATTTCACTCATTATCCCTAAGCCTACTTAATATCAAACTGACACATGGCTTAAGTGAATAAAATCTTCAATTTACTTTTTTGTTCTAAACTCCTGTTAGGTAGAGAGGCAACTCTGAACACTTTTCAAAAAACTCCCAACGGACTTTTTTAAATTAAAATAAGGTAAACAGTAATCTGTGCCCTCAGTTCCAGACTCATGATTGCATCATTTTCTTTGCAGTATTATAAGGAATGAAAAAGGTAGGCATTAAGATGCCAAAAGAAAATTTCCACCTTTTAGAAATCTGAGTTGGAAGGCAGAGAAGTTCTTAAAAAGGAAAATAGGATTTCCAATATAAGTTTCACATCACAAATTGCTTTGAGTAGTGGTGAACTCTTCAATATTAGAATAAAACAGAAAGGGTATCTACCGATGGCAATGAGCAGTGAAGCAGAGTAAACCAGCAAAAGCACACTTGTACGCTGCGATGAACACAATTAAGTGACAGACATTACTGAAGACCGTGTGTCCCAAGTAACAAAATCTCCCATTCAAACTGGATAAAGGTTATGTGACCTCACACAACAGGGTTGTAGCGTCAGGACTGTTGGATGTTGCGTCTCAGGATCCAGTTTCTTATCTACTCTTCCACCTGCCATCCTTTATTCTAGTTTCATTATGAGGATGCTCACCATCGCACCTATAGAAAGCAATGGAAAAGGAGTAATATAATCATTTCTTTCTGGTTTTCTTAAAAGTATCAAACATTTTTCTATGAGCATCTTCTTCTACCACCCTTCCCCAACCCAGCCCCTTCACTCCCCTCCAGCCGGCTGCCCCTCAGGTCTTACTGGCCAGAAATGGGTCACATGCCATCTCCTAAACCAGTCTCTGGCAAGGAGAATGGGGTTTCCATGGCTGAATTAGATTAATCAGTGTCTGCACTAAAGCTGGGAGATCACCTTCCTCTGTATTACCTGGGGGAAAAGTAGATACAAATGCAAATTAGAGTTTTTGTTTTCTTAGATCTTGTGATATATAATAGTGGAAATTAAGGGAATCCACTATCATATACTGCAAGATCCAAGGGAATTAAACAGAGCAGATGAATGCAGACTCCCTGGGCATGAGGACCATATGCTTCTAATAAGGGTAAATGAATTTTGTATCCAATCTTTAGAAAAGAAAAAGAATATATAGAATTCTTGATGATGCTGAACATTGAGTTAATGTTGACAAAACACCATAGAGTTACAATCTTTATCATAAACTCTCAGATTGGGCAACTAAGTGAAGTTTTGCAGAGATGTGATAAGCTCCACAACTTTATGCAAACCAAAGCGAATTCAAGTCAATGACTAGCTTTTTTTTTTAAAGCCATTTCAAAACCCTTCATCGATAACAGTTGTTGAACTCTGCCTGGGATAGTAATAAATATATTGGTGTATGATTATATGACAGAGTGTAATGTCTGTGTTGCTTTTCCCATTCATGCCCTTGGGTTAGGTTTCTGTCATCAGTGGAACCTATCTTGGTTTGGATTACATGAGTAAGCAAAATGGAGGTGAAGGCGGCATCATTATCAATATGTCATCTTTGGCAGGTAAGGACACTTGTTTCGTTAATAATAATTTCTTATTGGTGATTTGGACCACAGAAGTAAATCTTCAAAGTATATTTATTATCATCTCGGGTTTGAAATGGAAACTTTGTTTAATTTTTGTTTGTTTTATTAATGGCTGTATGGAATTTTCTATTGCATATCAAACGTTTGAACTGTATGTTTACTTCTATTATTTTAAATTGTGACTTCTTAAGTTATCTTACTGAAGTACTCTTTAAACACACACATGTATATTTTCTCAGGGTTACTGTTTTTCAATGGCTATTGTGAGATTCCTGATCAATAATACATGTGAAAGCACCTTTGGCAAAGTGAAAAGTACAAAGAGAACTTAAGGTACCTCTATGTGATTTTAATAAGAACATGGAGTTTTAATATATGGCAGAAGTAGTGGTTGGGATATGCTGTCGGGAAGCCAAACTTTACCTCTCCTTTCTTAAGGTCTCTAGCTAGGCATGAGAATTAAGCTGACATGAAATAGATTCACTGGAGAAAAACATACAGATTTTTACAGGTACATGGGAACCTCCAATGGAAAATGAAGACCCAAAGAAGTGGCTAGTCCTAAGTGTTTATAAACGAGGTTGAACAAAGGGAATCAATTGTGGAAACGTAACTAAAGTATACAGGAAGGCTACAGGAAGATAAGAGTTATTTTCTTTTAACAAGGTCTGCTTGTACAGATTTCTCTTGGCCTTGATTCCTGGTCTCTGGTGATAAAAATGTTTCTTTCTTCCTTGTTTAGACAGGGCACTTTTACATTGGATTTTTAACTCCTGCTTTCTGGAAGAAAGGGGAGGTCCAAGTGCCTTTCTTGCACCTGTTGTTTTTCAAGGCTTTTAACCTCAACATAATCCTTATGCCAAAGTGGCATACTTGGGGGTGGCCTAGTCTGCCACCCTTCAATGCTAATCTGCTATAATAAATGGACTTAATAAATTACTATCCCACATAGTGGCCTAAATATAGAATACTCAGCCCAGGGTGAGGTTCTTGTTGCAGGGAACTTCTGCAGTATGCAGTCATTTGGAAAACAAGGCTGGCAGAAGCTCTGTCTTCACTATGGAGCCTTCAAGGTTACTGTGGCATTGGTGGACTCCTCTCCAATAGAATGAGAACACTGAGGAGGTGTAGCTGCTCTTTTGGACCCCCCCCCTCCCCACTTCTCCTTTCCCCCTCCCCACCCAGTGATGGCAAACTTCACTTTTGCTCACATTCCGGTCTGGATTTGCTCTCACGGCTCATCTAACTACAAGAGAGTCTGGGAAATGCAGTCTAGCTGTGTGCCTGAAGAAGAGGAGATTCCAGTAGACAGTTAATAGTCTCTATCACCACGTGCAATCCAAACTGCTTTACTCGGGGCAGTAGGATTTACTATCAGCTGGTATCACGTTACTCGAAAGTAGCTATCAACCGTTGGCAGGAACTTTTGGAGCTACTTAGCCAGATCCCTTACTTTTAAAGTTCTAGAAAAGAAATGAATGGTTCTTAACTAGTTCAAGGGATATTATGAATTTTTAGAAGTATGACCAATAGTGACAGCAAGTCTAAACTATTCATGTCCGCAAATAGTGAGACTTTCTTAAATTATCTGGTTGGTTTCCGTTCGTGTGGTCATTTCACAGTAGGTGCCCTCCGACCTTGTCCCCACCTCCCAGCTTCAATAATATCTGGGTAGCCAGGTTTGGAGGTACCGATGACCACACCTGTGTCTGATTGTCAGCATTTTCCTCATTCCTCTGGGAATAGACGGTCCTTAAACCACCAAAACCTGCCACCAGTGGAAACTTAGGAATCTCCTTTAGAAGGTCTCTTAAGGACAAAATGGCATCCCTAAAGTTATTATAGACCTAATTCTATAATTTGTTCAGGATAATCTGGCTGTTATTCCTAATATGACATCTACGAATTTCAATTCTAAGGCTAGATTAAGAGGTAAGAGCACGGGCAATATGTAAAATATTTGGCCTCAAGAAGGACCAAATTTCAGTTTTTGGGAGCCTGAAACCTTAAAGGTAAATTGTCAAGACTAAATCTACATGATTTAAAAATAAAGCCATAAGAAAGAAATACATGAATGATAGGAAAATTAACAAGAACTATTTAATTTTTATTTAAAATATAAATGTGAATAAACTTGGGTGGTGGTCAAGAGACAATTGCATGGACTCTCTCTGCAGCTGGGAGGGCTAGCAAAGCTTGAACCTGGAGCACTATCCAGGAAGCCCCTTGCCCTGTGTCACTGGAGACACTGATGTCTTCTTAGGAAGGCTGGAAGGCCTCGGGTTGGATCAATTTAGGACTCTCTGGATGACATTCTGTACCATAAGAGGAGGTTTCCTTCCCTAAAGACCAGAGATAGAGAAATGCAATGTAATACTGCCTTTTATCCAATAAGAACATTCATTGAGTACTCCCTGTTACCATGATACTAGTTCAAATATTGTGTATGCAATGATCTCATTTAATATTCACAACAATCCCGTGAAGTAGATTTCATAATCTCCATTTTGTGGATGAGGGAACCTCGGCAGGAGACTTTACGTTCCTTGCAATAGTGTTTAACATCTAGGAAGCGGCAGAGCTGGAATTCATGTGTAAGCAGCCTGATAAAAGACCTCATGTCTTATCTGAATTATCTAACTCTTCTATCTATGGTGTGTCTGTTAATCTCTCTTACCATGTCCATCTTAGCCCATGAAATAAAAAAAAAATTTAAAAAAATAATACTTACAACGTGATTAAGCCAGTGTAATTTGCTAGTATCTTCAGGTCTCTTGGGTACTGCTTTAATATATTTTTAATGCATTATTGATATATCGGTGAGATATATTTATTAACAATAAAAATTCCTTAGCTTTCTTGAGGTCTATGGATCTTTCTTGTGGAGCAAATATTTCAGATTAAAAATAAAAGTGAAAAATTATTAATATATAATGAGTTAATATAACTGACAATAAACCTCTATATTTTAAATTAAAGGGCAAAAACATAAACCTACAATTCACAGAACAGATTGGACAAACAGCTAATAAACAGGAATAAATGGTCAGTCTCATGAGTAATCATGATGATGCAAATGAAAATAAAATTTAATATGTTAGCTATCAGATCAAATACTCCTGACTGGCCAGAATGTGTGAATGGGGATTGTCAAATACTGCTAGTGTTGTGAGCCACTGCTTTCCTCTTACAATTATGTTACTAAACCTTCAGTGGAATCTTAAATTTTTGCCCATTTAACACACAGAGTAAAGCCCTAAAGTCATTTGAGGAGCTTACCAAATTCTCAAGTCAAAACATGCCATTGAGAAGAGCAATTTGGGGATTACAATTAGAGGTCCACTTGGCTTTCTCGGCTAAGAGCTTGGTTTATCATACTACCCACCCCTGGGTGTTAATTCTCTTCTTACCTATCTGAGAGCCAATATTTGAAATCATTATAAACAGTGTATCTTTGTCTCTTCTACTTGATTCAGTAGCTTCATCAGTATGAAGGGAGGCACCCTCCCTTCTTGATGCTTGGCCTCCATACCTGGTGCATTTACACTGTTTCCTGTTGCCGGTGGCCAACCTGGACAGCCTCTGCTACCTCTCTGCCCACCCAGGGCTTTGTCACTAAGGTGCCCTCATCTCAGAGAGAATATTAAAACGTATTATCTTGTGTTCTGTCCACTCACCAAGAGCTTCTATTCTTTCCATCATGAGATTAGTTTGACAAAAATGCAGAATGTTATAATAGTAGAAGATAAATGTGGACCTCTCTGGCTGCACACTTTCCTCAGAAATGTTATCAACAATTTTATACCCTTGCAGTCATAGCATGTTGGTAGAGGTCAGCCAACCAAAAAAGTCTTTGAGAAGTTCTAGAGTCAAATTATTTTTCACCCAGCTTTATTGAGGTATAATTGACAAAATTGTAGAAAAAGTATTTCCCATGGTTGCTTCCTTTTGTTTTCCAAACTTTCCTTGCTCATAGACTTGTCCTGTCCTCATCCTTATGCCCTTCCTCCCCACCCCTACCCCCCCCCCCACCCCTCCACCCCCCACTCACTCTATTAAAGGCATAGCTGTGGGGTACATTCAACTCAACCAGTCTATCATTATGATCTCTTGCATAGATTCAGTGGAGTCCTTCACTGTCGTAGTAAAAACCTTGACACACTGGTTTGGGCAGAGAAGTTAATGAGTAATGACCACTGACGCAGAGCAAACCTATCAAATGCAATTAATAAGTTTAACAAACATAGGAGTAGTTAAAGTGGAGAGTGATTCCTCAGCACGTTGAGGGGAGGGTGTGCTCCAGTCTGGAGGCCCAGAAGTTGTTCTGATCATTGTTAACCACATAGACATTTCGAGACGAGTTTTTATTTGTAAACATAATATATAAACCTACACTCATTTTGCCACATTCATCCTTAGCTATCAAACGAGAAAAAGTTGGAAGGAACAACAGGAAAGAGTGAAGCTAGTTTAATGCAGATAATTAAATGTCTGTGTTCCCATAAAACATTCCATAAGAGTCAAATATGCTTCTTAAATACTTAGTTGCTAAAATCGGTATGAAGGACAAAGTAGTTGTTGCAGGAAAAAGAATCTGTTTATAATCCTGCTTCCATCTGCCTACATATTCAGCTACTGAGGTCTTGTTATTTGGGGGGGCATCCTCTGTGCCTTTAAGTCACTTAGTGGCATTTTGTGGGAGAGCCCATGAAATCCTATTTACTCTGAGCTGAAAACATTAGAATCTCAAGAAAACACTTGAAAATCATATTTTTTTAGCCTGTCTTAAATATCAATGCAGGGACATACTCACTTGCACTATAAGTTTTATCTAAAACTAGAGGCTCAATGCACGAAATTCGTGCAAGAGTAGGCCTTCCTTCCTTCGGCTGTGGGCACTGTCTTCCCTCTGGCAACCAGGACGAGGCTTCCCTCAAAGCCCTGGCTTCGTCCAGAAGGTCAACCTAAAGGACATC